GGTTTGTGTTAAATTCATCCATCACCCTCGAAGTAGTTCCCCTGGGAGTGAACACAACGATCCCAGCGCCGCTGCCAAGCCTGGAAGCATCCCTGGAAATCTTTCTTTGTCAGCCTGTCAAGCACCATCTGCGATTCTGCCTGAATCTCTTCTATCGTCTCAAATCTCCTTCCCTTTAGCTGAATTTTCATCTTTGGGAAGAGGAAGAAGTCACACGGAGCTTAGAAAGGAAGTTGGGGTCGGTTCTTGCAAGATCTTTGAGCTCCTGACAAACGAGAAGTCGATTCTGCTTCTGGTCCTCAGACAGGATGCGTCGCCTGTGGAGTTCTTCCTTTAGAATCAGCTGACAGGTCCCAACAATGTCGCACAAGTCGTTGATGGTACGACGTCGATCTTCGTAACATTTTCGGGCGTTGTGCTCGAAGATGGTCGTCCAGAATGCTCGTCATCATCGACAGGGGTTCGGCCATTTTTAAAACGTGAATGCCACACCAAAGTTTGTGCACGACCCATTGCGGCCTCCCCAAATGCTTGCTTTAGCATTTCATAGGTTTCCGTAGCCGTTTCGGCGAGTCTTTGGCAAAATTTGATGCACACGCCATTCCGAAATCGCAGGAGGGTCGGTGTAATGCAGTACCAAAACGCCCGTAACTAAGAAACAAATGCTAATTCGATGATGCCTGCTGGCACACTGATTCACTATGAATGTAGGCCGCAACTCCTAGCGGCAGAAGCTCGTACTACATCCGGTTCGCCCTCTATTGACACAGTCTTGAAACTTTCCGATCGCACCTCGTAGGCAACGCTAAAACCAGAATATGGAATTCATGTTTTATAAACCCAGTGCCAACAAGAAGATTCTGTACCATGAAGACAGTCTAAAAAGCGTAGTTAAATATAATAAAATTCGCCAAACATTGTAAATGGCATCTGGCCCGATTTCCATGTGCTTGTTAACACATTACTTCTTTCTATTGTCAGACGAAGTTGTAAAACTACTAAAGTAAGGCGAGGAAGTCGACACACACACCTGCCAGCGCCATAACACTACAAGCGTTGTGTTTGTTAACCATCTTGAAGAAGCACTCTCCGATTGTTTGTTGTTTCTGTGTGTACAACTACAAGACGAACGAATTAAAAATAACATCTGTGTTCGCATGTGTACTCTAGTCGCCACTTAAATTAAAACACAATCTGAACCAGTTACTCCTTTTAAGTGTTATTCACACACTGACATCCATCCTGCTTACAGGAACATACAACACAACTAATTATCTGAAAAACGTCTTTCTCTGTGGAAATGAGCCTCTAACGAGCCCTTTGTCAATGTCCTAAATAGTACATGAGTAAATACGGAGCAGCTGTGGATTGATACTGACAGGGGAGAACGAAAGATTCTGAGTAAAACCTGGTTTTCCAGTCACAAACAGCGACTTTCAGTGGGCTAGACATTCTTCTCGGATAAAGGAATCAAAGAATGCATACCGAATTTTGGCGGGGAGACATCGCCTGAATAGCAGATAGTTTGAACATCGAGATTGAAGTGGAGGACTAATGCTACGACGAGATTTCAGGAGTGCGAAGTCGACCGTCTTCCGGATTGTGGCACCGTGTAATGTAATAGAAATCGACTCTCAAAACGCAGACAAATGCCAGAATCTAAATATTACGCCATGACCATTTCCTTCAATGTTATTTTCAGTTCGCTATTTAAGAAAAAGTCCAATTCAAGGATATATAGTTAAATATTTTGACATTACCATTAAATAATTCACAAAAAATTAAGACGAAAAAAATTGTGGCGATTTTTATGGAGATACGAGGTGCGATCGGAAAGTTTCAAGACTGCGCGTATAAAAACCCGTACACTTATCTCAGGTATTAAATTCATCCATCACCCTCGAAGTAGTTCCCCTGGGAGTGAACACAACGAGCCCAGCGCCGCTGCCAAGCCTGGAAGCATCCCTGGAAATCTTGCTTTGTCAGCCTGTCAAGCACCATCTGCGATTCTGCCTGAATCTCTTCTATCGTCTCAAATCTAATTCCCTTTAGCTGAAATTTCATCTTTGGGAAGAGGAAGAAGTCACACAG